GGAAGCCCCGCGCCGAGCCCGGGGCGCCGAGCCGGTGAGTGCCCCCAGCCCTGACTGTTGCTTTGCTGTCTGTTCCCCGCCCTGTGCCCCTGCACCGGCTGCTGCTCTGCTCCCTGCCCGCTCTGCTTTCTGCTCCCTGCCCTGTGCCCCCTGCCCAATCTGCCGTGCTCCCTGCCCTGTGTGCCTCCTGCTTGCTCTGCTTTCTGCTCCCTGCGCTATGCCCCCGGTCTGCTGCTCCACTTTCTGCTCTCTGCCCTGTGTGCTGCCTGCCTGCCTCGTCTGCAGCTCTGCTTTCTGCTCCCTGCCCAGTCTTGTGTTTCCTGATAACTTTGCTGTCTCCTCTCCTATCAGCTGAATGAGCAGGACTCCTTTTCTCTTTCACAAGTAGCAAATTACTAGCTAGCTTAGAGTTACCAGGTTTCAAATCCTGAACTTTGCTTTGAGAGGAAAAGCTGTGGAAACAAGCCTGAGCTATGGTTGAGGAGTCAGCTCTTCTCAGTGTTTACTTCTTTTCTGTGGGTTACTGGTTCCTTACTCCCCTCCCCTTTGGCCCTCCTTTCTTTCTTTCTTTCTTTCTTTCTTGGTCTTTGGCCTGTTGGAGATGGCACTGGGAGCCTTCCTGCTTTTAGGGCTCCAGGGTTGATGACCTGAGAAGTGTTGTTTCAGGAGAGGAGCAGAGTGAATTTCCTTTGCAGGCCTGTTGGTGCACAAGAGAACCGTGGGCCATACAGAACCACCTCTGTGCCAGGCTGCCCAGTGATGCTTTGAGTGGGGCGCTGCTTGGTTGGCTTCTGGATGTTGATCTCTGCAGTACCTTGCTGAGCTGGTGGAGCAGTGGGGAAGAGCCACCTTCTCTTCCTGGAGCTCCCTCCTTCCTCTGTTGCCCTCTGGAATTAATTTGCTGAAGCTGCTCTGCCAGCAAGTCCACCCTGCTCCTAACCTAAGGGCAGGAGTCTGGCAAGGCTAGGTGTTTCCTTGCAAGGGACTCTTTCCTTCTCTTTGCTTAGGATGCATTCAGTAGAGATTGACCTTCCATTTTGTGTGGTGTTACCTGGCTTGTGCTCCATGCGATTCCAGGAGATGGCTCTGGAGGTGAACAGTCCTCCTCTGCTTTTTGCTCTACCCATCATCCAAGTGGAGCTTTGCAGTTTGAGGGGTGGAGAGAATAAGTGGCTTCTGATTCATCATAGATGTAATTATGTAGCTTATTGCCCAGTGATCTTACTGCCTTTGCAAAGCCCTGCTGTCTCTCTCTGTGAGCCTTTCGGTTCAGAAATCCTGCTGCTTATAGGAAAAAGCCTCCGAGGGGGACTTCATTAAGAAGAAAAACTCAGAGGCCCAATATTTTGCCTGCTGGACTGGTTTGTAGTGGAGTTGGTTAACTCTGAGACCCCTGCTCAGAGAAGTTGAGTCTCTTTTCTCATTCCCCATGAGCACTAAAGCCTTTCAAGGGAGCATTTCTCCATACCTGGAAGCTCCTGTCTTTTTGGAGTTTATGGTCTTTATTCTTGTTCTTTTCAAATTCACTGAGAGCATCTGAGAGGCAGGAGGGGAACCGAATTGGCAGGTAAGTCTCCTTGAAGGAAGGTGGCGGTCTATTGATATTCTGAAGGCTCTCGGGGAGTGAAACTTGAGTGGCAGCTGAGTGGGGAGCCTTTTCCTTCTCTGGGGAGCAGCAGCATAAGAGCCCGGTCAAAAACCTGCATTGTCATTCCCCCCTCACCCACACACACACTTCACTCCCCCGGGCTGACTGAGCCAAGGACCGTCCTTCCTTCACTCTTCTGGGCCAGCAGTGCAGCATCAGATGCCAGTAGCTACTAGTGCTCTGTTGCATTTGCTCTGGCAGAAAAGAGAAAATGGGTCTCATAAATTTATGAGGGTAGTATGACGGCTCACTAAGATGGGTTGAAGCGGATTGAGACAGTCCTTCTCTTCGTAGGTGGAATTTCAACATATTCAGGTTCGTGATATAAGTGGTTCCCACAGTATATACTTACCTCCGTGTGGGACAAGAACAAGGAGCCTTCTGTCGTGCTGTCAGGCTTCCCGATTTGCACAGGCATTTTTGTGTGGATAATTTTATCATGGAGAAGGTGAGGCTGCTGTGGTGATTCAACTGATATGGACTCCTCATGAAGGGTGACGTTTTACTCTAATGCACACATGCAATTTGGCAGAGGTGCAGCTGGATCTGCCTCTGTGGGTCCCATGTTGGTCACTGCAAGCATGCATACTCTACTGAGGAGTTGTATAGCGAGTGTACAAGAGGCCGCGCATGCGCACGTGCACACACTTTTGTAGTTTCAGTTTACTTGCCCTTCTATTTATCTTTCTGCATGAGGAAATTCTACATTTAAAGCCAGGTAGCTTCTCTCTCAAGTCAGGAAATTGAACTTAAGCTTAAACAACTCGGCTCAACTCTATTTCCTTGTGCCACTTGTATCGTAGCATGGTCATTTATTTTTCAGATAATACAATCTCAATTCTCAGCTTGGTTAGGTAACCTGTAATAACATCAAAGAAAATCCTCATTCTAGCAGTTCTAGTTTCATGCATTCCAGTAGTTCTTTATTTCTATCTCCACATCGCTCTGGAAATGCATCTAAATCTAATTGATGCTCATTTTCACAATTTTTTTTCTAGTCTAAATCCGTTCTTTTCTTTGTGCTGCAGGGCCAATGTGAGACCACAGAAAGTCTTCGGTTGCAGCCTTAGCTGTCGTTTTTGCAAGTTACATATTAGCTGAATGCATACTGTTCTGAAAAAAGTGTGTCTTTTACTTTGTTTGAGAAATAATGTGTGCTTGTGTAATGGAGGGCACTGTTGAATGTTTAGCCTCTTATTTGTATTTCCTCATTGCTGTGCAATCCTGGAAGAGTATGTGGAGTGTGTCAAGAATACAGGTGCAGGCAGGTAGGTTTTCTGATTGGGATGGACCAGGAGTGCGCACACATGACAGTTGCAGGATCTTGAGCTGAAATTGCTGCTTACAATTGATTGTAATTGTACAATCAGGTGATTGTACAAGTGATTCTTTGCTTGCTCCCATGCATGTTATTACCTGGACTAGCTTTTATAACCCTTATATCTTGCAGTGGGTTAACTGCTTTGTTGATCCCTTTTGATCTCTCTTAACCCACCTTCAGTTCTCTCAGCTGTGCCCCCTTCTCCTATCGTTTCCTCTTCTTTTTCCTATTTTATGTATTTAAAGTACTTTTTTCTCTTCTATTGTGTACCTCTGCTTTCCCATAAATTCATAGCATCTCATTAAGTAGGTTGTAGCTTTTAAATTAGTCTTTAAGGTAACACTCTGCCCTGCCTTCTACCATGCTTGTCAATAATGGGGCATTTTGGTATTCTGGCCTGTGTTGATGACCTTAAGCAATGACATCAATAGCCTGCTCAACTTGTGGCCAGTCACTGACTTTCGAACATTTCTGGGGTGGAGTTTCCTTCTCAACAGGGGTGCACAACGCACTGTCCAAAAGAGAGCCTTACTTCTTTCCCTTCCCAGGCTGCAGACAACGCCCATGAACTGTAAATAGGCTGTAAACACGGCTCTTGAGTAGAGCCTGGTCCTTCAACCTCCAGAGCTGGGTATTCTTGACTTCCTCCTCCTCCTGTGTGTGGTAGCTGGCCCTGCCCACGTAACAAGCCCCAGTTCTGTGTGCTGTCTAACCACCTGCCCCATTTTCCCCCCTGATTTTAAAGGAGTGCTCTATGCCTCTTGCTGGTGTTTCTCATGATTGCTAGGGAAGATGAGGAGGGGACTTTTCTCTGGATGCTTCTTGGGGGGAAAAGTATACTGTGGAAGCCAGGAAGCCCTTGCTTAAGTCTCATTTCTTCCTTTAGTTGGTGCTTGATATTTCTGCACACATTGATTTTGCAACCTTTTCTGCAAGCAAGGTCTTGCACTCCTACTTTAGGAGAGAGAGATGTGTGTAATTTATGCATTGTAGAAATAAGAGGCAAGACATTGATTGCACAAGGTGGTTTCTAGGAGAACTGGGAGCAGAATGCAGGTCTGTAATTGTCATTCACTTCAGCAGTGCCACCTTTCAGCAGTGTGTTTGGCTGTCCTGCCTGTAGCCAGTGCTCTAGCTTTCTGATTCCAAAACTTGATTCTCTGTGTGGCACTTGTTCAGCACCTAGTTAGCTGCCTGATCCAGTGGATTTCCATGTGAAGTAGATCAGCCTAGTAGAGTCCCTAGCAGGCTTTAGGAAGTCTGTTTCCTCCCTTTTTGAGGTACAGAAATCTCTGCTTGGGGTAGGAGCTTGGAGTTCTCTTTGGTTATATTTTTAGGTAGGATTGTACAAGCAATTCTGATATTGGTGGAAGAGCAATCGTGGAGATTGTATTGACAGCCTCTGATCCTATGTTATGCTGCAAACAGAGAAGCAAGGTGGGCTGAGAGCTGGGAAGAGATGCTTGGTCTGGCTCTCCTGTAGTTTCCTTTAATCTTTGAAGAATGACTTCCTAGGTGCTCATGCTTGGAAAATGATGACAAGTTGCTACTCACAGGTTTTAAATGGAAAACAATAACCAGTGATGACGGTACTAATCAGTGACTCAAAGCCTGGAAAGCCAGTCAATGTGGTTTAAAACAGGGAAGATGTTCTCCGAAAAAATCCAGAGTCCTGTTTTAAGAAAGATGTTTCCTGGAGAGAGCCTGGCTCATTTTTTGATACAGTTTTTAACTAATTTCTGAGAAATATATATAGTCAGATGGGCCCATATTTTGGAATTCTGAAGCCAATTTGGACCTGTTAATCTGTGATTGCTTCGTATGTGTCTGATGTTGGTCTCCTCGTTCTAAGGTAAGTGAAGCAAGAAGAGGTTTTCTCAGTTTTGTTTTTCTTGTTCGATACTAGCTGCCCTGGCCTGACTGAGCAGTTGTTGAGCATTAATGGTTTCAGGGAAATCACGTGACAGTTTTCAGAGTAGATTTGTTTAAGCATGTATACCCCTATCTTCCTGTCTCTTATGTACTTTACCTTAAATCAGATGAAAAGTAGCAGTTGTCCAGGGAATTAAGTGCATCCCCGTTGTAGCATTTTAATTGGTTTCCAGTCTGGCTTGCAAACTGCCATGGGCCATGTTAGCAACAGGTTTTCCAAGATGTTTTCTCTCTGTTTTTTCTTCAGAAACATTTCTGCTAAATGAAAGCTGCCTCTATGCTGCTGATCTGGCACATTTCCCACTGTTGTGTAGGCAGGAAAATGCTGTATCAACAGAAATAATATGGTTTCAGTTATGAAAGAGTCGCTGTAGTGTGGAGTATTGTGTTGATGAATTTGTCATTGTGGTAACACCGACTTCTTCTAAATAGCAGGCCAGGAGCATTTCCCTTCCTGAGCCTTCTGTCTGATGAATGGACTGTGTGGGAAGATGTTAATCAAAGTGTTTGCATTGCCTAAGAATATGGCATGATCTTTGTAGACCGGTGATTCTCAACCAGGGTGCCTTGAGATTTTTTTCAAGGGTGCTGTGTAAGGTTAGTAGTGTTAGGTGTGCAAGCATGATTTGCATGAAAAAACAGATTTCAAATAGGAATCTGTAGGGTTAAATCCATTCTGCCCTGTTGTGGTCTTTCTGAATTCTTTGCAACAGAAGAATTCTCTGTTATTTCTGAGCACTCAAAGTGAACGAAAACTGGGCTAGCATTTTCTTAAGGGTTGCCTCAAGTCTAAAAAGGTTGAGAACTACTGTTGAAGAGGAGCAAACATTAATTTCCGTAGCCTGTAATCAGATATAGTAGGTCTCAATCAAGTCGTCTAATTTGATTGATCACAGTAAAATATTGGAGGGATCTCCATGGCAAGCCAGCTGGAAGTTATTGTACTAAAATCTTAAGGCATAAAGCAGGGCTCATAGAGGACAGTACCATTGTGCTCTTTCCTTCTGCAGGTAAAACCATTCCCCTTGGTTTTTATCAGGAGAGAGATCCTGAGCAACACCAAGACAAAAGTCTCTCTCCACCCAAAACAGAAAGACTCCCCCTTTCCACTACACCTCATTTCTCTGCAGAACCAGAAATTGTATTAGTGTTTTATTCTGCAGGGCAGAGATGTCAGCTTCCTGATTTGGTGGGGGGAGAGAAATTTTTTTTAATTTAAATGATTAAAGTTTCTGAGGATGGAGGGAACAATTACTAGTGTAAATTAAACCGGGTTCCTCCTACCAGGATTACATCACCTGTTTCACTTTGAATCTTTCTCTGATCACTCCTGTTTCTGCAAGGGAGAAGGTTGTAGATCTGATGGCATGCTAGCATGCCTGGGCAAGGGTAGTATTGGTGAAGTGTCCAACCCACTGGAGCTTGTGAACACTGTTGCAGTACAAATAATAAAACCATGCCAACTATCTTATGGGCTTTTCTATTCCTGCTGCCATTTAGGCATTCTCTTCATGTGTGTGTTTTTTGTTTGTTTGTTTGTTTTGTGTTTTCCCCACAGATCAGAAATAAACAGTAACAGACTAAGCATATATGGGACAGAGGTTGAAGCACTTGTGATCACCGCATGCAGCCTTTTTGATTGCAAAATAAAGCATTTAGGAAATCTTATGACAACGTTGTGGTAGAGGCAAAGATTATTTGGGAAGTCCTGACCAGCCCAGAATTAGTCCAGAGGTTTTTCCATTGGAGTTTTCCATCTACTTCTTGGACAGGACTCTTCATATCCAGACTGAACTTATCTACTTCCATAGTAGCAGTTTGGTGTAGGATGCTCGCGAGCATGCATATGCTCCATTTGGATTCTAACCAGTTCCACTCTAAGACATAGTTAATTGTAGAAGTTGGCTACCTGCAAAATGAACCTTTGCCTCTCTTGACTAATGCAGAAAAAGGGCTACAGAGATTATCAAGTTGAACTTGGACAGTCTAATAACAGTCTCTAGATCAGTCCTGACCTTATTTCAACCAGCTGTCTTGCTGTGAAGGCTTTTAGACAAATGCTGGATATAATCCTCGCATCTCATTTACATGTAGCTGCCTGTTGTGTTGCAGGTGTCTTCTAGATGAGCAGATTTCTTAAAATTACAAGGTTTTAATTTTGTCTTGCCATAGGTGTCATGTCCTCGCTGAGTTAAGTGGCAGCAGGAGTAGAAATGCATTCCGGCCACACAGATGAAAATGTACCTGATCCCAAGAAAGTTATACAGGTAATTAAGGCTTGCTAGTTTTGTCATGTATAACGTAATCGCAGAGGTTCTGCCTGTCCATCTTATTTTACTTGTTGAATCACTGTTCTACCAAAGGTATGCTTTTTTTCTGATAAATTCCATTCATGTTGGGAGAGTTTGCCAAATTTGCTATAATGGTGTAACACCCTGGCAATCCTTTTGTGGTACAGGCTAGGTTCTAGACTAAGTTCTCCTTAAACGTTTGTCCTAGGATACAAGCACTTGTTCCTGGTTGTGGAAGTATTGGGTAGCCCTATTTAAACAATAGAAGCTGTTGTAAATCTTCCTTGTAGTCTACTTCACATCCAAAAATCAATTATTAAACAAAGCAGACCTGTGTTGTCTTCAGTCAAGGAAGAACTATTTTTGGAAAGTAGGGAGATGGATCAGAGAAAGTATTACTGAAGGATAAGCTCCTGGGTGTAGGAGCTTTCCTTTGTTCTCTGTCTATACCATGTCTAGCATTTGGGTCACTAATCAGAATCCCAGTGTGTTATGGTAATGCAAACAATGAAAAATTAAGCCTGTTTTAAAGTTTTGGGTTTTGTTGTTTTTTGGGGGGGTTTAAACACCATATGTAGAAACACAGCTTAATCGGTGATTCTTCTATTCACTTGTTCTCAGTCAAAACTACCTGCACTCTTCAACCTTTTTTTTTTTTAAAGTTTGGGTGATTATTAATTTTGAGGCTAGATATGTTTGATGAGGGCCCAGCAGAGTGTGCAGTGTTTCTCGAATGTCTAGTGGGGGAAGTTAAACTTTCATTTTATGTAAGACCTGGTTTGAGGCCTCTGGACTCGGCTGTGCTATAAAAATAATAACATCAATATAAATGTATTAAGATTGCTGAGATTTGCTTCTTGCTTATTCTGGTATACGTAAAAGGGAAATCAAATGATTGGTGTATAGAATTCCTCCGCTATTACTTTATTCCCTGTAGAGAAGCTCAGTGGCGAACAGCATGAAACAGAAACCTACCCCTCAAAGAAACATCTGGTGTGTCACATTTCTCTGTTAAAACACCTTGGCATTCTCCTTTTAATCGAACCACTCGGGCAACCTGTTGATGACTCTTGTGCACACACCAAAGATTGATTAGGTTTAATTTTGCTTGCAGAACAAATTCTAGCTGTCAGCCTTTGCAATTGGATGTTTCATACGAGGCCAACAGTTGTCACAGGCAGTTTTTAAACATTACCTTGTTAGCATAGCATTTTATCGTCCATCCTGAGGCAACTGACTGTCTTCGTGGAGCAGAGGTCTGGGAAAGCATGATTGTATATTAGGGGTGCACCGACAGATTTTTGATGCCAATACCGATAGTCAATTTTTAAGGAGGCGTATCGGCTGATACTGATCCAGCTTTTGATACTAGCCTGGCAGCTTGGAGAGCTGTGTGCAGCTGGTAAGTCTGGTGGGGGAAGGGAAGAGGCATGGGGGGCAGATCAAGGCCCCCACGGTGAAGGAGGAGTGGAGAGGGTCTGGGGCAAGTGCTGCTGGGGTGGGGCAGGTGCTAGATGGAATCACGGCTTATCCAGTGGCAGGGGTGACTGCTTGTCCAGGAGCCACTGGTCTGGTGCTCGACCGGTGGCTGTCGCTGCTTGTCCGAGAGGGCATGGGAGAGGGGGGTGTGCCCCCGGATCTGCGTTGGGCAGGGCAGGCCGAGAAGAGCCTCGTGCAGCCCTGGCCCCAGCCTCTGCAGATCCAGGGGCACATGCCCCCAGGGATGAGCGGCGGGAGCCACCAGATGAGTGGGCAAGCGCCAAACCAGCAGCTCCTGGACAAGCAGTGTGCAGTGGCAGGAGCTGTCGTCCCATCCCCTCCACCCCCAATGAGGCGTGGCTCCATCCTGTGCCCTGCCCTGCCCTGGCTGGGCAGTGCTTGCCCCAGGCCCTGCTCTGCTCCTCCCTTGCTGTGGGGGTCTTAACCTGTGCCCCATGCCCTTTCCCTCACTGGCCCCCTTCCACCAGACCAGACTTAGCAGTTGCACACAACTCTTAAAGCTGATGGGCTGTGCTTCTCGCTCTTTACGTGCTGCGTTGCAGTTGTGTGCATGCATAGGCACTTATCTGCCAAATTATAGGCCACATCAGGCCAATTTCCAATACGATAAATTTTCTTTGTATCGGTGCTGATCTGATATCGGACTGATGTATAAGTCCAATCTCTATTTCAGCAGTTCCCAATCTGTGGTACACATACCACCAGGGGTATGCGGACAACCTGTCTGGTATGCATTAACAGATTTTATTATAATTACTTTATATGACAAAAATTTTGCCAGTGGTACTTGATGTTGAACTGAAAAATTTTCTGGTGGTACTTAGGGTTGTATTGTTTCATATTGGTGATGCGCAGGTTGTCAGAGTTTGGGAACCACTGCTCTATTGTATGTAGGGAAATCTTGAAGCAGGGGTGATAAATATATGGCCTGCAGAGCTGCTGGAGCAGTTGGGAATTTGGGGGTATGCCTTATGCTGAATTCCAGGGCATGAAGTCCCACTGGGTGTGTGTTAGTAGTGGCAGGCAAGCAATGGCTTTAACTACTGTGGATCCCTGCTGCCACTTGCCCTGCTGCTTGAGGTAGGTCTGGATCCAGCTCACAATATGACCCCTCTGGTCCAGATCCCATGCTGATAGGGTAAAAGGAAGGGGAAGAAGGGGCAAACACATTTGACACTGCTGCCTTAAAACAAGTGTAGCCTAGGTTTGACTAGGCAGCTGTGCCAACAAATGGGCTCCTGGGGGGTGGACTAAAACGGAATTGTTACTCCATACTGCTCATTAAAATAACATTGAGGCCTCCATCCATCACAGTATAAGGTAGTTCAGCAAGAAAGCAGAGACTCCCAGATGTTACTGATTCCCATGTTGCATTCTTTAAAAACTGGTGTGCAGCGAGCAGATGAGACGCCCAGCTCCGGTGCCCCCTGGTGGGATGCAACCCCCAGTTTGGGAACCACTGTTGTAAAAAGGATCTCATAATGAATAATCAGTTTTTATCACCTGAACTCTCCCTTTTTATCCTGTAGTTGATCAAAAAGCAATTGGTGAATTCCATCAAGGCACTGCAGAAGCAGTTTGTAACCTCTGATGCTGTCGTAACCAGTGATGATGGAGATGCGAATACCCTTTGCTGCACCCTAGAGGCTGTTTTTGTGCATGGGCTGAAAGCAAAGTACATAAAAGCCGAAGCTGTAGGGAAAGGAAAGAAATTAGGTGGGCGTGGACCTCTTCCCCAGCCTGTCTTCTGGGGCCTGCTGAAGAGCATCACACACCGGTGAGTGATGGTTCCATCAAAGTTATCTGCACTTCCAGGCAGTCACCTTCTGTGGTACACACACGTTAAAAACCATACAATTGAAGGAAATGGTAAAAGAACATTGCAAGTTTGAAAGAGCTTTCACCTTGCCCTCTCCAGCTCTTCCACCAAAAGTTTGGGGGCCTTGCAAAGCACCCATGAAGGCTACTGACTTGGGCTGTGCTGGGCTAATGAAAGAAGTGAGCACCAGAGTAAAGGATCTCACCTGACCCTCCCCTGCTTGTAGCTTCCAGATTTCCATCGCTGAGCATTCAGGCAGACCTGAATTGTTGGGGTGGGCCATAAGCCAAGAAGTGGCCTTAACACTTGTGTCTCTAATACAACATTTGTTAAGGCAGGAACAATACTCAAAGCCTTTAGTTTCCCTCACATGTTTTCATCTCCACTACATAGTACCTGGCTCCCTTGATTCCATCATTCTTGGGCAGTAGATGGACCACAGGTAACAAGAGCCAGAATACTTATTAGGACCCAATCGGTGTCCAGTGCTCCTCTGCCCATCCAAGAAACGCTATTACATAAATGGGCAACCATTCTATGCTCTCTAAAATTTCAGAGCGCAGTTGATACGGATGAAAGAACCCACTGAGAAAATTGTGTATTATATATTTAGGGATACCATTTCAACACAATAGCCTTTTGTGGTGACAGTATTTCATTTAAAATTGTCTCTTACCGGAAGGAATACTGGACTCGGAAGTCTTAGGCATTCTATATGCTGGCACCACCCTCAAGTCCAGTCCTTCTCTTCTCTCTCTGCATTCATTTCCCCACATGTAAAAGGTAGATAGTGATTCTGACCTCCTTGGTAAAGAACACTGAAATATACTGATGATAAGACCTAGATTTTTCTTATCATTTAGTATTTTCACACACCAGTCATTTCTTGTAATGTTTGTCTTCTGGGCAAAATGCTTCCATTGAAATTTCGGCCCAAACACACCTATTGTGGAAATCTTCATTCAGACTCCTTCAGTTATTCTTCAGTTGTAAGAAGTGAAAGAAAATGAGCCTTTTCATACAGTGGGAGATATTTTTATGCCTTGGAACATTTTCTTCTCTGTTTCTGAAAACAAACAAGAAGCTGCCATTCATTTCATGACTTTTATTACTGCTGTAGTGCCAAGTGGCTGAAATATAGCTTATCCCCTGTGGTCAGAGCCAGCCTTGTGGGTGGGCAATGTGACCAACTGCCCAAAGGGACGCCACACATGTGCACACGCCCATGTGAGCAGCCTGCTGTCCCAGAAGTGCTCTTCCCCCATCCCACCCCACCCCCCGCCTCCAGCCCCTGCCTCGGAGGACCCCGGCCAGGCAGTG